TGTCTAGCTTATTTCACCTCGCATAATGCCTTCCAGATTCATTCATGTTGCAAATGACAGGATTTCCTTCTTTTTTAAGACTGAATAATACTGCATTGTGTTTATATATATGCCACATCTTTATTCATTCATCCATCAACAGACACAGGATATTTCCATGTGTTGGGTATTGTGAATAATGCCGTAATGAGCATGAGAGTACACATATCTCTTTGAGATAGTGACTTCATTTCCTTTGAATATATACTCAGAAGTGGGATTGCTGGATCATATGGCAATTCTATTTTTAATTTCTTGAGGAATTTCCATACTGTTTTCCACAGTGGCTCTATCATTTTACATTCCCAGCAGTATACAAGGGTTGGGTTCCCTTATGTCTGTATTTTTGCCAATACGTGTTATCTCTTGTGTTTTTGATGAGAGCCACCTTAACGAGTGTGAGGCGATATCTCATTGTGGTTTTGATTTGCATTTGCCTTATGATTAGTGATGTTGAGCATCTTTTCATGTGTCTTTTAGCCACCTGTATATCTTCTTCAGAAAAATGTCTGTTTAAGTCCTTCATCCATTTTTTAATTACGTTGTTTGGTTTTTTGCTTTTGAGTTTATGGCTTCCTTGTATATTTTGCATATTAACCCCTTTTCAGATATGTGGTTTGCAAATATTTTGTCCCTTTTTACAGGTTGCCTTTTCATTTTGTTGATGGTTTCCTTTGTTATTCAGTAGCTTTTTAGTTTGTTATTTATTCTTGGTTTTATTGTTTTTGCTTCAGGTGTCAAATCCAAAAAATCACTACTAAGACCAATGTCAAGGAGCTTGCAATCCTGTGTTTTCTTCGAGTTTTACAGTTTCAGGTCTTAATTCAAGTCTTCAATTTGAGTTGATTTTTGTATATGGTATAACATAATGGTACAGTTTTATTCTTTTGCCTGTGAATATCCACTTTTCCCCACACCACTTACTAAGGAGACTGTCCTTTCCCTGTTGTATATTCTTGGTTCCTTTGTTGAAAATTAATTGACCATTTATGTGTGGGCTTTTTTCTGGCCTCTCTGTTCTGTCGATCTGTGTGTCTGCTTCTATGTCAATACCATTCTGTTCTGATTACTCTAGCTTTGTAATATATTCTGAAATCAGGAACTGTGATGCTCCAACTTTCTTCTTTCTCAGGATTGCTTTGGCTATTTTGAGTCTTCGGTGGTTCCATATGGATTTTAGGGTTGTCTTTTCTTTTTCTATGGAAAATGCCATTGGAATTTTGATAGGATTGCATTGAATGTGTAGATCACTTTGGGTAGCGTTTTAACAATATTAATTCTTCCAATCCATGAACATGGAATACCTTTCAACTTATTCATGTCTTCTTCAATTTCTTTCATCAATATGTTTATAGTTTTCAGTGTATACATTGTTCACCTCCTTGGTTAAATTTATTCCTAAGTATTTTATTCTTTTTATTGCGATTGTGAATAGATTGTCTTCGTAATTTCTCTAATTTGTTGTTAGTGTACAAAAAATAATTTAAAGTAATTTTTGATAAGTATGAACTTACTCTCACTGTCCACCTCCCAAGAGGCTTGGGGGAGCCAAGGTGGGACAGGGCAGTGACCCTGGGAGGAAGGGGCCACTTCTGCCCGCAGGGGAGAGATGTGAGTGTCCTGGGTTACTGGCTCCTGCTGCTGTAATGGGGAACCCCTACCCCGTCTACTTCTCCACCTCCTTTCTCCCTTCCTTTCCTCTCGCCCCTCCAGTGGTTTTTTTGTGTGTGTGTGTCAACTGTGCCATTTTTATTTTGCTAATCTGCAAATTTTGCTAATTTTGTTTTGTAGTTCATGGGTTTCTTTCTTCCTTCTTCCTTTGTGATTTGATGGTTTTTTTGTATAGTAATGTGCTTTGATATCTTTATCTTTTGTTGTATCTACTCTTGGTTTTTGCTTTATGGTTACATGAAGCTTATATAAAACATCTTATAGTTATAATAGCCTATTTGAGACTGATAACAGCTTCACTTTGAACACATACAGAAGCTCTACATTTTTATACTCCTCCTCTCCACACTTTATGTTTTTGATGTCACAATTTACATCTTTTTGTATTCTGTTTTCATTAATTATTGTAGTTATTTTTAATATTTTTTTCTTTTAACCTTTATACTAAAGTTATAAGTGACTCACCCCCCACCATTACAATATTAGAGTATTCTGAATTTAACTACAGTTGACCTGTGAACAACACAGGTTGAATTGAGATCTGCTCATAAATGGATTTTTTATCAATAAGTACAATAAAGTGCTGTAAATGGGTTTTCTGTTCTTCATTATTTTCTTTTTTTTTTTTTAAGATTTTATTTATTTATTTGACAGAGAGAGACACAGCGAGAGAGGGAACACAAGCAGGGGGAGTGGGAGAGGGAGAAGCAGGCTTCCTGCTGAGCAGGGAGCCTGATATAGGGCTCGATCCCAGGACCCCAGGATCATGACCTGAGCCGAAGGCAGATGCTTAACGACTGGGCCATCCAGGCGCCCCTTCATGATTTTCTTAATAACATTTTTTTCTCAAGCTTACTTTATTGTAAGAATACAGTATATAACACATATAACATGTAAAATATGTGTTTATTGATTGTGTTATTGGTAACACAATAACTGGTCAACAGTAAGTTATTAGTAGTTTTGGCATAGTCAGAAGTTATACATGGATTTTCAACTATGCAGGGAATCAGTGTTCCTGACCTTTGAATTATTCAAGGGTCAGCTGTATATATTTACCTTTACCAGTGTGTTTTATAGGTTCATATGTTTTCAGGTTATTAATTAGCATCCTTTCGTTTCAACTTGAAGAACTCCCTTGAACATTGTTTATAAGGCTAGTCTGGTAAACCCCATCAGCTTTCATTTGTCTGTAAAACACATTCTCTCTCCATCAGTTTTTCAGGACAGTATTCTTGGCTGACAGGTTTTTTCTTTCAGCACTTAGAATATCTCACATCTGGTTTGCAAGATTGCTGTTGAAATATCTGCTCATCATCTTATGAGAGGGTCCCTTGTATGTAACAGGTTGCTTTTCTCTTGCTGCCTTTAAGATTCTGTCTTTAACTTTTGACACTTTTTTGGGGGGAGGGCAGGAGAGTGGGCAGAGGGAAAGGGAGAGAGAGAATCTTAAGCAGACTCCATGCCCAGCGATGAGCCTGATGCAGGGCTCAGTCTCATGACCCTGAGATCATGACCTGAGCTGAAATCAAGAGGGATGTTTAACCGACTGAACCACCCATGTGCCCCATTGACTCTTTAATTATAATGTATCTCAGTGTGGGTCTCTTTATTCATCTTACTTGGTAATTTTGGGGCTTACTAGATCTGGATATCTGTTTCTTTCCCCAGGTTAGGTAAGTTTTCAGGCATTATTTCTTTTAATATACTTTCTGCCCCTTTTTTTCTTTCTCTTCTCCTGCTAGGACCTCTATAATATGTATATTAGAATACTTACTGTTGTCCCATAAGTCCCTTAAGCTATCTTAATTCTTTTTCATTCTTTCTTCTTTTTGCTCCTGTTTTGATGAATTCCTCTGTCCTCTCAGTTCACGAATCCTTTCTTTTGCTTCATCTAATGTGCTGTTTAACCTCTCTGCTGAATTTTTCAGTTCAGTTATTACATTCTTCAGTTCAGTGATTTCTGTTTGGTAGTTTTTTATATTTTCTATCTCTTTGTTGAAATTCTCACTTTATTCACACATTACTCTCCTGACTTCAGCAAGCAGCTTTATTACTGTTACTTTAAACTGTATTGGGAAAATCACTTATCTTCATCTCAGATCGGTTTTTGAGGATTTATTTTGTTATTTTGTTTGGAATATATATATTCCAAACAAATATATAGAGAGAGAGAGAGACTGACTCTCTATGTTGATTTCTGTGCATTACGTATAACTGCCACATCTTCCAGTCTTGACACACTGGTCTTACATAAGAAATGAACTTTGCAATCACCCCAGTCCCAAGCTCCTGGTTGCCTCTCAAACCTTTATGCCTAAGCTGCCATCTTTGTTCTTAGTGGCTCTCAGTAGTTGAGAGTGTGCCAAGACCATCAGTGTCCCAAAGAGGAGGATTGCAGGCAGCACCTAGATACAAGCTGATTGGAAGCCAGACTCTCAAGCAGCAGCTGGGAAAGTATGCAGTAAAACTTCTTCCAGGGATAAACTGGGAAATGGGCATTTTTGCCTGGCTCCCTCTATGCTGAGACCAGGTGTATAGCCACTGGGCAGGGGATGCTCCTTAACCATTTAAAAACTGCCTCTTTGTTTCTGATAGTCCTATGGGACTCATGAATGCCAATCCCTTTGATCATCAGAGCTAGGTGGTTTAGAGCCCCATTCCCTCAGGTGGCAGCCATAAACGCTGGGGCACTTGTGCGGACAAGCTCATAAAGGAGCAATTTTATATGAAATTCTTCAGAGACAGCATATTTAATCAGATGGACCAAGAGCTTAAAATGTAGTTTTGTAAAACATCTTTTTCAGGAAATTCAGTGTTCTTCCATGGTAAAGACAAAAATCTGTGGCATAGTTTTCACGTAGATTGCTTTTATTCCTTTTGTCACAAAAATGCTGTACAATTTATGTAATCATTTCTTTTACAAGTGTTGGAATAGGATAAAGTATTAATATATTATTTCCTATTCAAATGCCTATTTATGGTTAAGCCTCCTATGCCCAGTATGAATCACAAGCCACATTGTGGCTATATTGTATTTTGTACTGTGTGGTGAGATCTCTTCATTTTAAATTTTGTTTTTATGAGTAAAGAATATGTTAAATACTTAAAATGTGTTAAATATATATTTTTATATATATGGTAAGTACGACATAAAATAATATGTTAAAATAGGGCTTCCTATATTTTACCATTACATGTGGTAAGGATGGCTGAACTTATAACACTTAATTTTGAGAAATGGCCATTGTTCTAAAAGTAAAAAACTGAAAATTATTTTTATTTCCTAGGTTGTCCTTTGTGGAGGGTCTTCTCGAATCCCAAGGCTACAGCAACTAATTAAAGATCTTTTCCCAACTGTTGAGCTTCTGAATTCTGTCCCTCCTGATGAGGTCATCCCTATTGGTGCGGCTATAGAAGCAGGGATTCTTATTGGGAAAGGAAACCTTTTAGTGGAAGACTCCCCTAAGATAGAGTGTTCAGCCAAAGATATTTTAGTTAAGGTAGGCTTAGCTTTTCTTTACTTTTCCATAAAAGTAGCATAAGCTTATTGCCATAAGTTCTTATACATACCATGGTTTTATAGTGAAACTTTGTATATTGATAAAAATTTTAAATTTAGATTTATAATTTTACATTTAATGAGTTTCTCATTTTCTTTCAGTTAGTATTTATCTAACATGTTAATTTCTTATAATTTTAATCGTAAACTTCAAAGAGATAGATACATGTTTCAATTTATTTTTAAATGAAGTAGGTTGGGATTAAGGATCACTTCTGTTTTCTTCTCTTTACCTATCTGTAGTTTCTAGATTATCAACAAGGATTAAGTATATTTATTATAGGAGTGACTTTGTAATGATAGATATCAAAGGATATGCATATTATTTTTCTGCTTATTAGGGAGTCGATGAATCAGGAGCCAACAGTTTCACAGTACTGTTCCCATCAGGGACTCCTTTGCCAGCTCGAAGACAACACACATTACAAGCCCCCGCAAGTATATCTTCAGTATGCCTTGAACTCTATGAGTCTGAGGGCAAAAACTCTGCAAAAGAAGAAGACAAGTTTGCACAGGTGAATACATAAATTTGGGCAATGAACTAGTCATGTGAAACTGAAGCTTTTCCTTCTTCATCATTAGACTCAGTTTAATGTCAATTAATATAAATGTATATAAGACATCTATCTAACACATTTTTATGAATGGATTACTTCTTACTTTTAAAAGAGAAAAGAAATAAGCAATTTTAATTTGAAAGAGTTACAGGAAAATAAAAACAAAATACAATATGTATTTTTTCTCTTTGTCTTTGTGCTCTCTACCCTCCTTGGTAAAATGTAAGTGGCGGGGAAAATGACATTTTTTGGTTTGTTGTATGCCAGGTGCTGTACCAGGCAACTTACAAATATCTCAAAATGCCATGAGATAGACAGTATTATGTTCATTTCATAGATAATTGAGAAACAGGCTCATGGTAGTAAATACCTTATTTTCCTTGAGCTAAGATTTATCTTCAGTTGGTTTTACTCCTGGGCCCTTGCCACGTCTCATACAGGATACCTTTACTTTTTCAAAATACCACATTTCTATTTCATACTATAGAGTCCTCTGCATCCTTTAAAAGGAATGAAGTGGAGCCACTTTACTTGCTTAGAAACATGCCCAAGAAATATAATTACATTAAAACACATATACAGGGACTACAGAGCCATATTTACAGTATGATGTCATTTGTGTTTAAATAAAAAGTTTGAAGAGCATGGGTGTGTGTGAGGGAGGTAGTGTTTGGGTAGGTGTGTGTATATAAATATCCATGCATGGATACAGAAAATATTTATAGGTATTAGCACTATATTTAGAAAACTTAACACTGGGTTGATTTGAAGGTACCAAGAGGGTTTTTTGTTTTTTTGTTGTTGTTGTTTTGTTTTTACATCTTAACACTTTGTACTGAATTTCTAACAAAGAGCACAGGACATGAGCATGAAATACTTTTATAGTGAAAATAAAACAAATGTAGGTCACCAAAGGGAATGCATAGTATCTTCAGCTTTATATCTGTTTTCTAATTCAACAAAAGAATAATGAAAACTACATATAAAACCTATCTGGGCTCCACCTCAAACATCTTAGAATCTAGGGGAATAGGGCTCCTTCAAATAGTAAAGTTTTCAAAAGCTCCTCCAGATGTTTCTGTTGTGGATTACTATATAAGCACTTTTTTGTGTACTCTATTCCTAAACTCACTTGGCTGCCTTAGCATTCCCTTAGCTTCTTTCTCTTGTACATTTGTCACCTTTTCTCTTCATACACTACTCCAAAACTCTGCACCTACTGTCACCATATCCTTACAGATGCCAGAAGGAGAAGAGTTAGTCACCTAATACTGAATTTGGAAAATACTCTTTTAGAGATCCCATCTGTTCTAATCTCTGTGTTTTACAAATGTGTAAACCAAGGTACTTAGTGCTTGCCTAAGATCATAAGACTTGATATTGGCAAAATCTGAAAAGTCACTTACCAGGACCCTGGGATCATGACCTGAGCTGAAGGCAGATGCTTAACGACTGAGCCACCCAGGCACCCCTCATTAGTATCTCTTACGTACAAATGTAATCTTAGTTGTACAAAAGAATTTGTCATCATGTGTTTCTTTAAATTGGTTTTCCAAGTGTATTTAAAATATTAGAGTTTTTAAAAGTATATATAGAAGGATATGCCAAAATGAAATTTACATGTTACTGGTAATGGCTTAATTACCAAAAAGAAAAGCAGTCTTTATTTTCTGAGACAAAGTATACTTCATAATCTATAATATGTTTAAGAGGAACAAATCTCTTAGCTATATGCTCTCCTTCTAGAGGAGACATTTCCATTAAGAAAGCTTAATCCTATTCTCTGAAAACTGCCCTATTTTAAAAGATTTGTTTCAGTAATAAGTAAGATTTGGTGCATTGGAATAACTGTTGCATCAATTTATTAATATATCAAAGTACTGAATCATCTTTATATTATTTTTGCATAAACAGGTTGTACTCCAGGATCTAGATAAAAAAGAAAATGGATTACGTGATATATTAGCTGTTCTTACTATGAAAAGGTACAAAATTAAACTACTTCTGATGTTCAGAAAATTCACTGTGAAGCTTGACCTTTTTTGTCAGTTTATTGATTTCTTCAGACATTGCCATTCTAGGAAAATCGTGTATTAAAGCTTGCAAAGATTTTATCAGTGAGTTACATTTTTTGCCCTACAAAATTGCTATATTTTGCAAAGAAAGTGTATCTCAAATCATTTGCATTCTGAATTTTTATGAACTCTAATTATTTTGGTGTGGTCAGCCAAAAAAACTGGTCCATGAAGTTTGAGATATAATTTTTATCAATCTTAAATAAAATCTTCTAAGGTTTACATAACTGATATTATTTGTCCTATGAAAGGGTAAGTTTATTTCAGTATTGCTACAGAAAATCTTTAGGAAATAGATTACTAATTAAATCCAGCTATTACCACTCCACTAATAACCGGCCATCTGTAAGACTATGTCTTGCAAGTAAATCATTTCCAAATTAACTTTAGGGACAATTCATTCCATAACCATACTTTTAGCAAGATTGTCAAATTCATTAGAGTAGGTTTGCCTTGGCCTAGGCTTGAAGATGGCATGATGCATCTTCAGTGTGCATAAGGTCTAAACTTGAGATCTTGATCATCCTGGTTTTCAAGGAATACAACTTTTGTGTCAGTGGTCTAGGAAGAAATTTTTAAGAATAGCTACCTAATTATAGCATATGACACAAGTTTAGACACTGAAATTGTGTTTCTTCTTTATCTTAATACTCTTTCAAAAATTAAAATTATCTTGTTACTCAAAGTCCTCAAATAATTTCTTAAGAACTTTCTGCTTTTATGAAATGAGCTTATGAAATGTTATTGTTTGTTTAGGGATGGATCTTTACATGTGACATGCACAGATCAAGAGACTGGAAAATGTGAAGCAATTACTATTGAAGTGGCATCTTAGTGTTCTAGAGAAACCAGGAATTTTTTGGAACTAGACTATCAATATTATTTGGTTTTGTTTACAAGTGATGTTTATATTAAAATACTTTTTGAATGAATCGTATATGTTTCTATTAAAATACAATATATTGGTAAGTGTTGCAACCTCTTTTTGTTTTCCATTTAGGATGGGAAGTATAAGGTCCTTTATTAAAGTGGGAAATATAAGGAACTTCTATCATGAAGCTATTTAGAATTAAATTGAGTGCATTGAAGGAAATTTTACTGGAAATTTAAGTGTGTTTTTAAAAAATTTTTGTTCTATAACTTCAAATTTGAAGAAGTCTTATTAATTCTTATTAAATATAAACTAGGAACAATTTACAAGTTTTTGATATTAAATGAATTGGAGAACCATGTGCAAAGTAAGATACCATTTTTGCTTAAAAGAAAAAAGTAAATTCATAAACTCAACAATTGTGTATAGATATGTGTGTGACAAGCATAGAAAACAAAAGTCTATAAGGCTGCCTACCAAACTTGTAACAGTGGCCTTTTTGTGGACAGAAATATAGGGTGGCACTTTCACTTTTCCTTTTTACAATTTTGTTTGGTGTGATTTTTTTCCAACAAACACATATTATCTTTTGAAATTAAAAGGTCTTTTTTATTTTGAAGAGTGGGCTAGCCACATTCTGTTCATCAGAGAACACTCACTAGTGCATTGAGATACTCCGTGGATTACTAATGTAAAGCTTATTCACTAGCTAAAACAGGACAACTAATCTGTGTATATTGAAAAGAGAACTGGATGGTGAGCAATACATATCAGGTTCTATTATCAAGAGAGGATTTTTCATTCATTTCTCTCCTTGGTTCCCAGAAAACTGGAGAAGAGGAAATATCTTTACCCAGTGGTAAAATTAAAACTTGTGCTGTTTTTATCTTGTTCAGGCTTTGTGGATGTGCTTTATTCATTATAGTTTATTTTTATGGAGGTAGGTGGCAGTAATAGTCTATTTCTAAAGATACAGAAGCCTAACTTACATTTTTTCATGATTATTCTGTACCAGATTGACAGAATCAAAAAGAATTCAGATATGATTCTGAGTCCACAAAGAAGCAGACTCAAAGTCATACCCATTTGATTAAGGCTGAGTACTTAGTTATTTTTTAGGTTCTTTTCCAGTTATAAAAACTTTGAAATCAAATAAATAAATATAAATTAAATGTTTTCAGAAAATAGGAAAGTAGCATCTGAACTAGTTGAACTGCTTTCATTTGTGCTTTGGAAAATGCTTTAGGATTTTATTTCATAGTTACTATTAGCTCTTTAAACTAGATCAGGCACTGGGAAACTCTAGCCAGTGTGTCAGTTCTATGCCATTCCTATTTTTGTAAATAAAATTCAATTAGAATATAGCCAGGCTTACTGGTATCTGTATTGTTTGTGGTTGTTTTCACACTGTAATGGCAGTGAGTAGTTGCAACAGAGACTCTGTGGCCCACAAACTTTAAAATATTTACTGTCTGGCTCTTTACAGAAAATGTCAACCCCTGAAGTAGATTAATGAAACCTGTAGAATAAAATATCAAAAGGATTTATTCAAGAGTTTTCTTTTCTTCCATGTCTATGTTATAATTCACTTACTTGACTGCTTTTTCCAGTAGATTAGTAAGTATTGTGAGAGCAGAGACGCTGTCACCATTATGTCCCAGGCCCCAGAACAGTACCTGATCATAGGTGTTCAGTCAGTGTCTATCGAATAAGTGCATTGCATGGAAGAAAAAATAAGTCTTTGTATTCTAAAGAACAATGGCCAGTAAGTACATCTTTTGCGTATTTTGTGATTTCTTTAGAAACACAATAAAGAAGGAAAGGAGTACCACTGCTTCTGGCTTTATTAGTCAGCTTTGCATGTTTTTTCCCTCAAACATATCAAATTTGAAATTGTCACCAAAGGTGCTCTGTTGCCTAATGAAATGTTCTCCAAATTGTCTTGCATCCTAATGTGACAAGTTTTTTTCTTCTGAATTTGGGGAGGGTTTGCCAATTAACTTGTGTTTTACTTTTTAAAGGTAAAAATAGCTTCAACATTCTTCTAATTAGAAAATGATACACATTCATTATAAAATTAAAATTGCAAAAGAAAGGGGTGCCTGGGTGGCTCAGTTGGTTGATCATCCAACTCTTGATTTCGACTCAGGTCATGATCTCAAGGGCAGTGAGATTGAGCCCCATGTTGGGCTCCAAGCTCAGTGGGGTGTCTGCTTGAGATTCTCTTTCTCCTCCTCCCTCTGCCCCTTCCCCTGCTCAGCATGCACATGCACCTCCTTTCTCTCTCTCTCTCTCTCAAATCTTTTTAAAATTAAAAAAAACAAAATTGCAAAAGAAGAAAATCTAAAACATCCTATATTCTACCACCTAGAGTAACAACTTAAGATATTTTTGACGAACATCTTGATGATCTTTTCATACACTTACCAATTATCTTTGCAGTGTCCAAATATTTTAAAAACATGAGGGGCGCCTGGGTGGCCGAGTCAGTTAAGCATCTGCTGTTGGCTCAGGTCGTGATCCCAGGGTCCTGGGATCAAGCTCCACGTCAGGCGAGCAGGGAGCCTGTTTCTCCCTCTCCCACTGCCCCTCTCCCTGCTTGTGCTCTCTCTTGCTCTAAAACATTTGCACTTTTACCAGTAAAGGAAGGGATTATGTCAAACTATAATTTTGCCTATCTACATGTCTGATACTGTCCAAAGGACAGAGCCAAATATACACATAGAAATAAATTCCTACATATAATACTGTGAAAGTCTTGGGAGGACACAACATACTTGTCAGCACAAAGCTGTTATATGTGGAAGAGCTTTTAAAGATTAAAAAAAAAGTATCAAAAAATAAAATAAAAAAATGTATCAGCACAAAACAAATTCTGTGGGAAAATGCCAGGATTTCTAAAGTAACAGTGAGTAACCATGTAACAACAATACCACTGTTTGCTTTAATTCTTTATCTCATTTTAGATTGTAACCTCACCATAACTCCCTGAGTAGTTGCAATATGCAAAGAGTAATCTAGCCTCTATTATTTGTGTTCTACATGTAGAAACAGAAATAGATTCAGAGAAGTTAAATAATTTATCCAAGAACTGTGAATTTTTAACTAATACTCATATGCTTTTTTTGTAAACAATTTTTCTTGATTGCTTTCTAAACACATTATGTGCATTATTTCATTTAAATTCACATTGTCCATTCTATCCTCTGCCTCTTGAAGAACATTACAATGAAATAGGAGACACTCCATGGGTCTCCAGAAATCATATTTGCAGAGGTCTTTATGGGAAAAAACGGGGGTGGAGGCATTTCTGTATGTTTCCCTTGAGGCCAGTGATACATGCATCTGGCTTTTGATTTCCTTCTCCATTTATAGCCAGGATTTACCAAGATCCTCAAACATTTTAGTCTCAGGACTCTTTTACACTCTTAAAAATTATTGAGAACCTAAAGAGCTTTTACTTATATTGGGTTTTGTGGGGTTTTTTTTTAGATTTTATTTATTTGAGATAGAATGAGACAGAGCAAACACGAGTGGGGGTGGGGAGAGACAGAGGGAGAGGGAGAAGCAGGCTCTCCACTGAGCAGGAAGCCCAACATGGGGCTCAATCCCAGGACCCTGGGATGATGACCCCTGAGCCGAAGGCAGATGCTTAACCAACTGAGCCACCCAGGTGCCCCTATATTGGTTTTATATATATACATATATAGTTATAGTTATTTTCCATATAGAAGTTAAAACCAACACTTTTTTTTTTCCTGCCACAGACACTTTGTTGTTGGCTATACAAAGGTGCGTATCGGGTATGTGTGTGGGGTGAATTTGGGTTCCCCACAGGTTCGCCAGGTCTGGAGTCATAGCTGTTGCAGTAAATATTTTGCCTCTGGTTTCCCTATCACTCCTTCACCTCATCTGTTGAACCATCCTCCTTCCTCTTGTAACTTGTAGCCCCTTTGACTCATATTTTCCCTTCCTCTTTCCTATGTGAAATTTCGCTATCAGTCTTAAGCTCTTGTTACTGGGCATGTTGGGCAGATCCAAGGATAACTTGGGGCTAAGGGCCTGGCATGGATCTGGTTTTTCAGGGAAGATCAGAACCATCCTCAGAAGCCAGGCCATGGAGAAGATGGGAGGGAACTTTCTAGAATAAACTTCCCTGAGTTACAGGTGAGGATTATGGTAGTACGTTTCCCCCTTGTTTCCTGAATGTTTTGAAAAATGTTACCCTCCCCTGGGTTAGACCTAAAACCAAGAGATTTTTAAAATCACTCGTTTTTTAAATAAAAAAATTACATGTTAAGTAACATTTTTATGAAAGATAACTTTTCAAAAACAAAAGATTTAGTAGTAAGTGTGGTATTATGTTTTTTCAAATCTCTTTAATGTCTGTCTTGAGAAGACAGCTCTGTTCTGTTTCTTCATTCAATCTGTTACAATATCCAAGTTGTGTATCCTCTGAAAAACTTCACTCTATACTTGTGAGAGGAGAGTAAAGAAGTCGGAAAACATCTTGATATTATGTAAAGTTCTGAACTTACGAGCCTCCTGAAGGGTCTCGGGGTCCCTATACCATACTTTGAGAGTTGCTGCTTTAGATAGTTACACAGTGTACCTGTTGAAGAGACAAGGTCTTGTCTGTCCCCTGGAATTAATAGGGTTGAAGACAAAAGACAACGGAAACAGTTGATTTACAAAAGAGTCTAATTCATTCTGTAAATTTTTACTGAAACTGATCAAGAGCCAAAAAAAACAGACAAGATAACTACAAATGTTGGAAAGTGCATTTAGTGCCAAAGAGAAAGAATGGAAGACAAGAGGTAACTTCTTTAGATAGGGTGCCCAGGAGAGGCCTCTGAGGAAGTGGAAGAAGCAGAGACCCAAGCAATAAGAAGGTAGCCATGTGAAGAGAGAGCAGCTTCTCCTCTAGGAAGTAATTACAGTTGCCTTAAGATATTTATGTACTTGCTTATTATCTGCTTCTCCCACTAGGATATGAGTTCTATGCGGATGGGGTCTTTTTTCTTTCCTGTCTACTTTTAGCACCTCATACATTGCCTGGCACATACGAGATACACCATAAAAGATTTCTGAATGGGTGGAAATATCCTAGAGAGCAATGAGTAAAGAGGAGAGTGGCACAAAGTAAGGTCAGGGTGGCCGGGTTACAATCACTTAAGGCCTAGCAAGGTATCAGGAGGTTTGGATTTTATTCTAGGTACTCTGGGAAGTATTTAAAGCAGGAGAAGGACATGTCCCCCTTTATGTGTTAAGGTCACTCAGTTGTATGGAAAATGGATTGGAGGGGAAGCGATAGGCGAAGTGAAACCAGGTAGGCTTTTGTAGGACTGCAGGTGAGAAATAGCGGCCTCTACTAAGGGCATAGCAGCAGCAATGGAGAAAAGAGGCAGAATCAAGGTATATTTTGGACATAGCATTGACACAACTTGCTAATGAAATTACGGAATGAGGAGAGGGTAAATCAAGATGACACCTAGATTTCCTTCTTGGAACCCTGAGTAGATGGTGGAGGCAGTGTATTGAGATGAGGAAGTCTGGGGACACTTGTAGTGGAGAGGATCGGGTCTGGAGGCAAAAATTAAGGGCATTCTTATAAGTGTGTTCAATTTGACATGTTTGTGCAACACCTAAGAGGATATGTCAGCTAGGCACTATGGATATCCAAATCTGGAATTCAGGGAAGAGGTCAAGCCTGGAGACAAAAAGTTGGGAACCTTAAGCATAAAGATGATATATAAATCCATGGGAACTGAGGCAGTCACTTAGGGAGAGAGCCTAAGAGAGATGTCTTGGGGCCAAGCCCTAAGGAACCCCAGCATTTAGGCTAGATAAAGGGAACCAAAAAGGGGAGTGAAGAGAGGTCAATGAGGTAGAAGAAAAACCAAGAAACAGGATGGGTGCTCCTGGGTTGTTCTAAGAACATATAGGACTGGCAGTGAATACACTTGGGGAGGGGAGGAAGGCGGTGAAGCTGAATCTAAATCGTAAAGGGTCTCTAGGAGTAATCCTGGCAAAGATCGGGGAAAGTAGGCATTTTCTAGCAGCAAGAGCAGAATTGAAGTCCTAGGGACAGGAAGCAGGGAATATTTGAGGAAGTCACAAATTAGGAGGGAATAATGAGCAGTGAGGCTTGCGAAGTGGACAGGAACAACCATATCACAAAGGGGCTTCCATGTGATAGGGATGGATAGGACTTTTTATTCCTTATTACCAAGGTAATAAGATGCTCATTATAGAAAATGATTAAATATGTAAAAAGGAGCTATCAAAAAGGAAATCACTCCCCAGAGATTTTACATTTATCTTCCTATACTTTTTTATGTAGTTGAAACTTTTACAGGTTTTTGTTGTTGCTTTTTTTGCTTAACATATTTAACACTTCCCCCATGATACTAAAGTCTTCATAAACATCTTTTTAAGTGGCTAGACAGTACTTCACAATGGAACCAAACAAATTAATTTCTTCAATGTTCTGTGTATACAGTATTTCAAATTTATACATGATGTTTTGAAAGATTTTTGTAATTTTGACATAAATTTCTTTTTAAAATCCTTGGTCGATGTCAAACGGCTTTCTACCCAAATTTTCCCAATTGACTCTTTTTAAGATTTCTGCGTTAGACTGTTCAGAACAATCACCATGGAAGCGGTGTAAAGAATGGATGGGGGCGGGGCGGTGGGGGGGGTGGGGAGCCCGGTTAGGAGCTGCTACAGTTGTCCAGCAGAGACCTGGCCTCCTGCAGCCTTGCTAGCAAGCTGTGCACACCCTTCCCCTCGACCCCCTCCCCCGCCAGAAGCATCAGGCGGAAAGTTCGTTAGAAACGGCAGAACCTCAGGTCCCAGCCCAGACCTACCTCATTTGAATCTGCATTTTAACAAGATCCTCAGATGATTCCTATGGCCATTCAAGTGAGAGAAGCACAGATGGAGACGACTGGTGGTTTCAAACTGCTGCACACTACAGTCACCTGGGGAGCTCTAAAAAATTCCAAAGCTCAGGTCACACCCCATACCAATTAAATCAATCTCAGCAAGTGGGACCAAAAAACAAAACCTTTCCAAGTAATCCCGACATGTAGCCAATTTTGAGAACCTTTGATCTAGGGGTGCAGCGTGGAAGGAAACAATGGTTAGTTGGGCTCAGGTGGCTGAGGTACAGGCATGGGAGGTAAACCTAACTCTGCACCACACAGCTCCACTTTACATTTTGGATTTTGCACAACATACAAGTAGGGTTGATGTGAAAGAACTAAAAAGCGTCGAAGGCCTGACGTACGTACTTCCGAATTAGGAGTTACACCGCCCGATCGAGGTACGCTGGCCGCTAAATGCAGAGAAGCACCGCCTGGCCAGGACCGCGCGCCCCGCCCCCCCCCAGCGGCTCCCGCGCCCTCCCGCGTGTCGGGACGGGACTTTGGGCGCATGCGCGCTCGCCGCTGCGGCCGGGGTCGGCCTCCGGTGACGTCAGGACGCGTCGCGGGTTCCAGCCCCGAGCCCTGGGCCCCCAGACTCCCGCGCAGGTCGGGCGGGGGCGGGGCGTCAGGCCAGCTGAGCTATCCCGTCAGACCGCGCCAGTTTGAATGAAAGCTCCTCAAGATGGCGGCGGCTGGGGCCGAGGCGCGAGGAGGTGAGGGCTGGAGAGCGGCACCCCTCACTGTCCCCCGTTCTCCAGGCAAACTCCCGAGGCCCGGGAAGCGGGGCCGGGATCCGTGGGCCCGCGAGAGCGCGACGCGGCGAAACGCCGCCTCCCGCTCTGCTGACACCTTGGCCCCCAAAGGCGCCCCGCGGGCTTCACCCTTCCCCCGGTCCCTGACCCTTCTCACGGCACGGCCCGCTCGCTTCCCGCAGTCTCTTCCTGCACCCCGCTTCCGCGGGGCCCGGTCCGCGCGCCCTGCCCCGAGGTCGGCTGTCTCTCGCTCCGCGGAGGTCCCGCGGACTCCGTGGCCCGGCCCCCGCTGCCCGTTGGGCCGGAGGCCCCTCCCCGCCTGGTCGCAGTGTGGAGGTATTCGGGCGGCCGCCGCGGCTCCTGGTAATCCCCGGGGGGGGGTGCTCGAGGGCCTGTGGGCACGCGTGTGGTTTACTCCTTTGTGGTGGTTTGGGCGGGACGTTTTGTGTTCGGGCTGGCTTTTTAACTGGGAAGCGGGAAGTACCCGGTGGTGTAAATGTGACCTCAGTATCAGAGGAAAAAAGAAATTGGGGCTGAAGTATGAACGCTAAGGAAATAAGTGAGCGTACACCCCATTTGGACGCACTAGAACGGTAAATTCCCCGTCGGAGAATATCCCAGTAAGTGGGTGTTTGAAGACGTAGCCTCTGCCTTACGGTAATTTTTATACCCACCGGGAACTTGCGTGTTATTTTTGTGGACGCCAGAGAATTAGATCCTAGCGTGTGTGTGTTTGTGTGTGTGTGCGCCTGCCTGTCTCGCGCACCCTCTGAAAGACTGGAATTTTCAAGGCATTCTAGAATTTAAAGGTGTTTGCTAGCACTACTCCTGTCCACCTAGATTATGAACTCATTATCCCCAAACTTTTCTTCCACTAGGGGTTAGTGTTAACCTAGTTTAAGGTTTTTGTAGTGGTAATGAAATGTTTAATCTTGCAAATGAATTATCTTCTACATTATCATAGATAATCGGAATTGCTAACCAAGGGTTTGCGGTTTGTTATGTTCCAGTTTTTTTTTTCTCAAAAATAGCATTTACGTCGAGGGTTGTCTTGAACCTCAAGTTAAACTAGATAAAAATGGTAGGGACAACAGACAAACACACCTTGGGTGATACCCATGAGGAACCTCCTTTGCACGTGATCAGCATCGTGAGGTTAACTTTACACAAAACATCCCGAAGTTTTTTAAATGGAAGACATTTAAGTGGTCATTTCTGTTATACCACTCTCCTGCACCCAAACCACCACTCCACAGTAAGCAATCACCCCCAAATATTTTTTTGGAGAAAATACCTTTCATTTTCTTGGTCTAGAATTACGAATCTTTTGTAGGAAGCGGGGTGATGGAAATCGTGCTTCAAGGTTTGTGACGATGAAGCCCCATTGTGAGTTGGGGAGGATGAGGGAAGGATATAATAAGAGCTGCTGTGTGTTCTCTCTTCCTTGGAAATTACCTCAAAACAAAAGGTTATCACAACTACCTTGGAGAGCTACCGAGTAAAGCTTGAGTTTACTGATAGATTTTGTTTGGTTAATTCCACTTGCACCCCCGCATTTTTTTTCAGTGAATCTGAAATCTGGAAAGATGGAAACATCACTAAAGTCATGTAGCTGGGTAGCGAAGCAAAGGCTGGGGCAGAGGACCCTTGATTCTCTGGAGTGCTTACCATAACTCGAGCCATAAAACCAAGTTTATTACATATTTCTAAACATCAGTTTGTGTTAACATATTTTATATGCCATGTGGTAGCATACTGTTTACACAAAATTGAGAGTAAAATCTTTAGCACATTTAGTTACTGGCTTCTGTAAGGTTAATTATGAGTGTGTCTGATTTTTTTTAAGCTTGGTATGGATTATGTAAATTGAGTACTCTGTTTTGTAAATCTTGGCTTTAAAAACAATGCAGGAAATGAGTATTATGAAAATAAATTCTCCATTATTTGTAACAATTCTTGGGCTTATTTACCTTGATAATAATACAGCATAGGCAAAATAATAAATGGACTTAAAATTTCATGCAGCATTCCAGAATGGGAAAAGTAGGGCATGTGATTGCTGTATGACTATGTTACTGTAGAACTGTATTTCAATTAGATTTCATTTCTTATTGTCCAACTAAGAGAAAGGGAGAAAGTTGTTTTTAATAACTTTTAAGGCTGTTTTAAAATATATTTAAGATATTTTTAATAAGTTTGTCTTAGGATCTACATTTAATTAAAACTGATTATATTCTTTATATTCTATGTAGAATATAATGGAAAAGGTAAAAACATTATCTCTGTTGCCGTTTGCATCTATATGTAATTTCAAGAAAGCTTACAGACATGAAACTTATTGTTCAGGTGGCTTAGTAGAAATTAATTTACATTAGTTAAGCATAGTAGGATAGAGACCCATGAAAAAAATCCAAGACCAGTTTACCAAAATAGTTTTTTAATGCTTAACTTTTTCTTGAAGACATATAAATGGTTTCTTGTCATATGAATTTTCAGTCCTGTAAAATTGCTAGTTGAAGGGTGGGGATATAGAGGTCTTAAGTTTTTCCTTTTTTTGTTTTAATTGAGTAGCTACTTCATTAGTAAAGAATTCTATTTTCTTATTGTAGCTTGGTGTGTGCCTTGCCTAGTTTCACTTGATACTCTTCAGGAATTATGTAGAAAAGAAAAACTCACATGTAAATCGATTGGAATCACCAAAAGGAATCTAAACAATTATGAGGTGGAATACTTGTGTGACTACAAGGTAGTAAAGGTAAGGCAAATATCTAGCCCCTTAAAAGAGACCTTATCAGACTTCAATTCAGTATTTCATATTTCTGTAACATAAAAAGAACCTTAAAAGTAAGCAAAAGCTCTTCTTAATGTTAAAAATTCTAAGTCATAATAAATTTATATGTCCTATCATCTATATTGCCAAATAACATTGAGAGGATTTTGAAGCATTAAATGTTCTTGCATTAGAATATTTTAAGGTACTTATATCATTCTACATCCAACTCTTGATTATCTCCATGTGGATTACCAGAGCAAATGTTTTATCTCATATTGGCTTCTCCTGTCATTCATTTTGTTCCTGAATCATATTTCCCCACTATCACCTGAAATAAACCTAGAAATTCAAACCCAATTTTAGTGCTATTGAACCTCGTCAGGAAGCATCACCATTTTGTATGTCCTGTACCGTGTCAAACTCCAGATATTAGGTTCTGTGGTATAATAGAATGGCCTGGAGTTTAGAGTCATTTCTGATCTTCGATTGGTACTTCGTGGCTTTATCAAAGTCATTTAACTTCTCTGGGGCCTCACCTGAATTCCTGTTTCTCTTTAAAATGACAGGTTTGTTTTCCTAAGAACCTTCCTCAATCTAAACCTTATGATATATTTTTGAGTAATTCATCTTTCTGTAGTCTGCTCCCTCTCCAAGAACTCTTTTTTGGTCATTTATTTGTCAGTTCTTCCAGACAAATGAATTAGGAATCCTTCTCCTTTGTCTTCCATATTGATTCAGTCATTAAATCCAGTTCTTCCTTTGAAACATCCATCATCTTTTCATATAACTACCTTCCCCACTCAGTGGGATTTTATGATCAAGCATTTCACCTACACTCTTCAGCAACCTTCAACCCCAAAACAGCCCAGTCACCTGCCATCTTATTGTATAAACTGTCGCCTGACCAGCCTAGCCAAGAATATCCTATAATCACACATACTGATACCATTAAAGCTTATTTCTCATCTCACTCCACTCGGTTCTACATAAGGTTTTTATCTGTTGCTTTCTTTTCCCTTTCTTGTCAGCAATTTTTCTAATTTTTTATTACTTTTCTGGACTTCTTACTCTATCCTTCACCTTCGTATTCAGCCACAGACACTGAAGTGTATTTACTTCCCTGTCTTCCACTTCCGTGAAATATAGGATCCTTCAAGTATGAACTCTGAACTTTACACCAGTTATCTGTATCTTTGCTGTCACTGTTTTTCCTTTTCCTGTCCGTCCCTGTTAGAACTTTGCTTAATCCATGATGCTTGCTTTTTTTTTCTTTTTCTTTTTTTTTTGTTCTTAAGCTCTCTTTTTCCACTTACTTCTCTCAGTCAATAAAACCTATTCAGGTCTTATCCAATCTTTCTTCAGCCTTGTCTCCCCACTCAAGCATTCCTGTCCTCTACTTCATTTCCCATTAACTTTTTAAAACAGCTTTGTCAAGATGTAATTCACATACCATACAATTCACTAATTTAAAGTGTACAACTCAGCTTTTAGCATGCTCTCAGAGTTATTCTAAAGTTGACTGTGGTGATGGTTGCACATTTTAATTACGCCAAAAAGAAACTCCACACCACTCGGGCACTACTCCCCAAACCTCCCCAGTCTTCTTACCCCACTAGCCCTAGCCAACCAGTAATCCACTTTCTGTCTCTGTAGATTGCCTATTTGGACAATTCATATAAATAGAACCTTACATTATGTATGTGGTTCTTTTTGATTGGTTTCTTTCATTTAGCATGGTGTTTTCAAGGTTTGTCCATGTTGTAGCATGTATTAATACATCATTCCTTTTTATTGCCAACTATTCCATTATAGGGATGTAGCATATACAATTTATTCCTCACTTGGACATTTGGGTTGTTTCTGTTTGGGGGCTATTATAAATAATGCTGTTATGAACATTCATGTAGAGGTTTTTGTATGGACATGTTTTCATTTCTCTTGGATATATACCTAAGAGTTGAATTGCTGGGTCATACAATTTCTCTGTGTGTAACTATTTGAGGAACTGCCAGACATTCCCACTAGCAGTGTTATGAGTGTTTCAATTTCTATACCTCCTTACCAACACATTATTATCTGACTCTTTGATTATAGCTGTCCTAGTGGGCATGGAGTAGTACCTCAAAACCAATCCTTATGGTTTTGATTTACATTTCTCTGATGGCTAATGATACCAAGCATCTTTTTTGTGCTTTTTAGCCATTTGTATATCTTTGGAGAACTGTCCATTCTGAGCCTTTGCCCATTTTTTTAAATTGGGTTTTTTTTAAATTATTGAGTTGTAATAGTTCTTTATATATGCTAGATAATCCCTCATGAGATATACAGTTTGTAAAAATTTTCTCCTGGAGATTGTCTCGTCACTTCTCATCAGCTTTTTAACCCACTTTATTCTGATTTATGCCCCTATCAGTGACCTCCTAATTCCAAATATGAGGACCTCAAATCTTACTCTCCTTCTTAGCAATGTCTGACACTGTTCGCCTCTCTCTCTTCTTTGAAATTCTCTTGTCCAAGGAGAGACTGCCTACGCTCATACTCCGTCTCTACCATCTATTAGTTGAGTGACTTTTAGCAAATTACTTAGCCTCTCTGTCTTTCCGTTTCTTCACTTATAAAGTGAGGATAATTATAGTACCCATCTTAGGGTTATGATTAGCATTAAATGAGTTGATATAGATAAATGCTTAGAACAGAGACTGACCTGTGATGTTCATATTGTAGAAGTGTTTTCTGTCATTGTTATTCACCTCTATCTCCCCGCCTTTTCCCACCTTTTTCTTAGTACTCTTTCTGAATCTCCATTGTCTCTTGCCTGTCCTTCCTCTGAAATGTAGATAACCTTCACAGCTCTGTCCTTGGCCCACTTCTTACCTTGAAGTGACTCTGTAGATGACCTCTTTCCCAGTGGTTTCTACTTCTCTCTGTTTGACTCATGACTGCCAAATCTTTGTGAGGCATTGACCTCTTTATGGACTTCAGTTCAAACTGGACACTGTACAGGTTCCCAAATTCAACATATTCAAAACTGCACCTGTTTTCCTCCCTCAAATCTGCTTCCTGATCTAGTAGTGTTCCCTATCTAATCTAAGAAAACCATAATACCTCCAGTTACCTAAACTTTTTAAGTTCAGACATTTTTAATTCTTCCTTTCTACCTCCCATCTAATAGGTCATCAGATTATATTATCTTTGTCTCTCTATTTGTGTTTTTATGTTCATTCTTGCTGTACTTGAACAGTTAGTTATGTAGGGGTCTGTGCCTACACTGAAGGAACTACCATTATTCTTACACAGGATTCTGAATGTTGTAGTTAGGTTTAGATAGCTTTTGCTCTTTGGTTTCCCTTTTGCTCTTATCAATCCTTTTGGTTTCTTGTTTTGGAATAAGCACCCTTACTTGCACACTTAGGTCCCTTCTAAGAGGGACCACTTATATCCCTCCTTTCTTCTTGTTTCTAGCACAAATTACTTAATCTGTGAGCCAGTATTATTTCCACATATACCCTTTTACTCTCTCCCCTCTCATGTTCAGGGCACGTGAAAGATCATATGACCGTGTCCTTTCTTTGTGTGTACCCCTCCATTTAGTTCGTAAGAGACACTGTTTCAATACCATCTTCCTCAAAGCTGTTACAGACGTTTCTAAAACACAGTTCTGGTTGTGTTAGGGCCTTGCTTTAGACCTTTTAATGGCTTGTCTACCAATCTAAGCTGAGACCTTTTGTAGTGAGGTTCTTTATTATCTGGTCACCAACTACCTTTCCAGCTTCATCTCCTGTGACATATCCTACTTTTTATCCACACGGAAATACAAATAAATTCTTTCATTTAGCTAAGATTTAATGAGCACCTACTATGAGCTGGGCAGTGTTCTAAGCATTGGGGATATAGCTTATATTCTAGTTCCTTGAACACATTATACACCCATGTGCCCTTTTGCTGTTCTCATCCAGTTCCCTCGCTGGAATACTGTTGTTTCCCTTTTCTCCTTGACAGAATTCTCTTTGGCCTGGAAAGTTCAGCTGAAAGGTTACCACTTATTTTTGAGCTTTCTCCCCTCCCCCCATGTCCATAAAATTAATTGCTTTATAGTCAGGACTTAATAAGCACTGTTTGTATTATTCTAGAACTTGACACATTTTATAGCTTGGTTTCATACCTTCTCTGCTAAATTGTCAACCATTTAGGGCCAGGACTAGGTCTTACTGTAGTCTCTAGTACACAATGGGTATTTAGTTAGTACTTAATGAATTGAATTGGCTTTTGCATCAGTGATTTCTCCATTCCTCACAATCACCAGTACACTAGATATTCTTAGCTTCAGACTTAGATTAAAGCAGCAATCTGTTGACTAATAGCTCCTATATCATCTTTCTATAGTCTCAGTGAACATTTGAGTTTCTTTTGTGTGTCAGGTACTACGTTAGGCTCTGGTAAAAATGAAGGTTAATCAGAAACTGTCTCTCACCTTAAGAAACTCACAGCCTGGTGGAAAGATGGATAAGTACACCATCCATTACCATATAGTATAATAAGTACAGTGGCAGACTTCATTACGTATCTGTGGGAGGTGCACCAGGGCCAGGTCACAGAAAGCTTCCCAGAAGAGGGGATATCCCCCTAAGGCCTAAAAAAGACAGGTACACTATAACTCATGGTTTTAGTACAGAGAAAGGAGTGCTAGAATATGGGAGTTGGAAAGGATGAGAGATGAGTGAAGGAACTTTCACAGCATTCTACAGCAATGGAGGGTCACTTGAAAGGTTTTTAAAAAGACTGATACAGTCAGATATTCAGAGAATTTTCTGTCTGCAGTAAGGAAAGTGGATTGGCAGGGAGGGGAATGACACAATTTAAACATTCTGAAAGGCTGTTGCGGTGATCTGGGCAAGAAATTATAGTGCTTAAGCTAAAGGAGATAAAAAGAAATAGGTAGTTTTTTTGTTTTTGTTTTTTTTAATTATCATGGTTATAAAATG